GTCTCCCCAGTGCTGGGATTATAGGTTCGTGCTACCATGCCTAGCAGCAGCGTTTTTTTGTACTAAGAAAAATTATATACAGTTGGACTAGGGGTGCATCTCAGTAGTAGAGTGTGTGCTTAGCATACATGATACCATGGATTCAATCCCTAGAATCAAAAAAAATTAAAATTGCTGGGCACAGTGGTAAATTCCTATAATCCTAGCACTCTGGGAGGCTGAGGCAGGAGGATGGTACACAAGCTCAAGCCTCACCTAGGCAATTTATCACAGTCTTGTCTCAAATTTTTAAAAAATAATAATACAAGGGTTGGGCCCGGGATTTAGCTCAGTGGTTCTGGCGTCTGCCTCTCAAGCACAAGGTCCCGAGTTCAATCCCCGGTACCAAAAAAAAAAAAAAAAGAAAAGAAATAATACAAGGGCTGAGGATGTAGTTCAGTGTGAAGGCCCTGGGTCCCATCCCAAGTACAATGAATCAGTTGATACTATAAACAACCCAAATATCCTTCAGCACGTAAATAAACAAATGGCAGTACATCCACATAATGGAATATTGCTTAGCAATAAAAAGGAATGAACATGAATAAATCTCCAAAAAGTTATGCTGAATAAAAGAAACCACACTCAAAGCTGGGTGTTGTGGTGCATGCCTATAATTCCAGCACTCTGGGAGGCTGACATCTGATTCAAAGTTTCACTGGGCAACTTAAGTGATTTAGTGAGACCCTGTATCGAAACAAAACAAAATAATAAAAGGTGTGGAAATGTAGCTCAGTGTGAAGGCCCAGGAATCAATCCCTAAACACACACACACACACACACACACACACACACATGCAAAAGAGAGAGAAAGAAACCAGATTAAATGACCTACAAAAATAGTATATATTGTTTAATTCCATTTCTATAAAATACTACGACCTGTGGGACCAAATCAACCAGGTGCACTTGGAGCTGCACTCTTTGGAAGAACTCAAGAAACAGGAAGCCATTCTCCAGAGGCTGGAGGTCTAAAGGAAGAGGCACAGAGACAGCAGGAAGGAGGAAAGGAACTTCCGCAGAGCTTGCTGCCGGAGAAGGAGACCTCAGAGTCAAACTTCTGAAGCGCAGTCTCGGGCTGTTGTGTCTGGGGAGGAATTAACTGCTGGCTTTCCTCCTCGAGAGGCTGACAAATTGACCCACTCTGTGGTTTTTTGGTTATTTGAAATGCTCTCCACCATACCCGTCCTGTGTTCAAGGCATCTCACTGCAAAGGACACAGGGGGGTTTGAATTTGCTCAGATGATCATTGGACTTTCACCAGTGTCATACTGGCAAGACTTTTTTAGTTGTGATCTTTCCTTTAAAAAGCCCGACCCTACAGTACTGCCTGTGAGTCAACCCTTGAATAAAAGTAAAATACAGGGGCCGGGGATTTAGCTCAGTGGCACTGCACCTGCCTTGCAAGCGCAAGGTCCTGAGTTCGATCCCTGGTACCAAAAAAAAAAGGAAAAAGAAGAAGAAAGAAAAATGCAAACAATTAAAAAAAGGGAAAAAGGGGGCCAGCACAGCACTTGCCTGGCAAAGTTTGATTCCTGGTACAAAAAACAAAATTCTAGAAAATGCAAATGAATCTATAGAGAAAGCACATCTGTAGTTGGGCAGCCGGGGATTTAGCTCAGTGGTTCTGGCGCCTGCCTCGAAAGCGGAAGGTCTCGAGTTCGATCCCTAGTACAAAAAAAAAAGCATATCCTGTATAATTTAATCGCTTCTCGGCCTTTTGGGTAAGATCAAGTGTAGTAGTTGGGCAATATAGTATGTAGAACAGGGAAGGGAAGAATTACTGAGGCAGAAGAAAATTGGGGGAAGCATATGTTAATTTTCTTGTGATAGTGTTCATGGGTGAGCACAGGAATCAAAATTTTTCAAATTGTACACTTTGTAAGTGCAGTTTGTCAATCACACTTCAATGGGCCATTTAAGAAAACAAAAAAGAATGAAATATCTATGCAGAGATAAGGGGCTGGGGTGTGGCTCATGGTATTATGTATGGGTTCCATCCCCAATAATACAAACAAAAGATAAAAGTGAAATTTCTACTCATGGCTCACCTTCCTCTCCTTCCTCTCCATAGTGGCAATCCCTATTTGGGATTTAGTGTTTAGCTTCTTTTGTTTTGTTTTTGTGGTGCTGGGAACTGAACCTGGGCCTCAAAAGGCAAGTGCTAGCTGGGTGTGGGGGTATACACTGTAGTCTCAGCACTAGGGAGGTGGAGGCAGGAGGATCGTAAACAAGTTTGGGGCAAGCCCGGGCTACAAAGTGAGTTCAAGGCCAGCCTGAACTACATATCGAGACCCTGTCTCAAAAATCCAAAAAGAAAAAAAACACAAACCAAAAAAGAAAAGTGTTCTACCACTGAGTTACACTTTCAGCCCAACACAGGACTTCCGTACTCAGAGCCACACTGGCCACCTGCTCCAGAGCCATGCCAGGTACTGATGGGCCACTCACAGTTTATATAATGCCACTGTTGAGGGTCATTTAGGTTATTTCCGACTTCCCCTCTTGCGTCAGTACAGCATTGAACATCCTTGGGCACACATCTGTGTCTCGTCTCTGTGGTTTTCCCTGAAATTGACTGCAGCCCATAGAATTGCTGGGTCACTGTATAAACACTTGGTAATGAATTAATATCCCAATTTCCCCTGGTTGACTATTGTCCTTCCAGTTCTTCAGCAGTTCTTTGGAGCAGCATAATGTTTTTTAGAGAGCTGCTAACCAAGGCCTCAGAAGTGTGGAGCATCCTGGGGTGTGTGGTCAGGGGATGAGGAGTGCAGCTAATTAATTGATGATGTCTCTCTCCTTTGAAGCAGGACTCGCTGATTAGTTTTCCTGGTTTCCTGAGATGGAGCCAGAGGGCTGGTTTATTGTTTTCTCCCCTATACATCTGTGGGAAAAGGGAACCTTGCTGCTACCCTGTGGATTAACTGCTGGAGGAAAGTAGGACTATAATGTCACCCTTTCCTAGGTTAGCATAGTATTTTAACCCTGTTTATCAGGGTGACCGATAAGCCTGTTTCAGTGCCTGGTGAAATGTCTAGGTGAATGTCTAGGGCATTTGGAGTCAGACTCTCTACCTTTGGCAAGAAGTTGCTGTGTTACAGTAACGTGCCATGCAACTGTACAACAGCTCTGGCTCCTGGAAGGCTTGGTGGAAGCCACCACCCCACCCACCACCACCCCCCCGCTCCCCACACTGGGGTTAGACCCCAGGGAAGCTCAGTCACTGAACTATTTCCCCAACTCTCTACCCCACATACACTTTTTTTTTTTTTTTGGTACCAGGGATCGAACTCAGAGCCTTGAGCTTTCCAGGCAGGCAGCGGAAACACTGAGCTAAATCCCCGCCCTGCCACATACATGTTTTAAAAATTTGAAACAAGGTCTTGCCAAACTGCCCAGGTAGGGCTCAAATTTTTGATCCTCCTGATTCAGCCACCAGAGAAATAGGAATTACAGGAGTGCACACCATGCCCAAAGACTTGGGAGGTCTTACTAAAGCCTCAGTTTCCTCCTTTCTATGCCGAGAAAGTTGTGCAAACTCTTCATACAGTACTGGCACGAAGTGAGGAAGTGACAAATGGTCACGTTTGTGATCACTATCGAAACCAGGCAGATTCTACACAGCAGGGCTTGCTCGGAGCGGGCTGGAGACTCACCTAAATTCATCCAACAAGAGTGCAAGATGCAGTTTAGGCCTCTTTACCCAGGCCCGAGGGTAGTGTGGGGATTAGACGAAAGGAGGCAATGAGAAAATCTCCCAGGCGGCCCCAGCTGTGGGGTTGGGTGGGGGAGACTCGCAGGTGTGGGGCGGGGAGGTAAGGTGACCCTTGCGCAGCGACCGCACCCACAAGGAACGCATTCCCAGGCCTCTCGCCCGGG